TTAAGGTTCAAATAGACTTAACTTATTTTAATCAAAAGCCTTTAAAAATTATTTATTTAAACTAGTTCCAAACAGACCAAATATATTATATTTGATTAGGACATAACATAATTAGATTATGTTAGATTAATTAAAAAATAAGAATTAAAAGAAATTGTGCTGATATAGAGATTTTTTTTGTTCCATTTTTATTATTCAAATTTTACATACCTTATTAGTGATTTTTATTTTTTGTCGGTGTGCCACAAAGTTTTTTTTCTCGCCGAAGCAAAGGCAAAATCATTGGCTTGCTGTTAGGGGTGTTAATCGATACGAATTATTCAGACTCGGCTCGGATTGGACCCTACAAAAACTCAACTTGAGTTTGTCAAATTTAGTTCATTTATACGTAAAATAGTTGAGCTATTTGAACCCAACTCGAGTTCGACCCAGATTCGCACTCAACTTGAATTCTAAATAAATTAAACTTGAACAAATTTTTAAACTCATTTAAAAACATAAGTTTGACAAGTTCAGGATCAAACTCACAAAGTTTGACTCGATTAACCCGCTTCGAGCCCACCCACTTCTTGTTTGTTGCCCATTGTGCCTCTAGATGGCCAACAAAGTGGGTTGATTCAATTCAATTATTCGGTTTTAGTCCCACAAAAAAATGACAGGTCGAAAAATGGGGAAGAAGTTGTCTACAGCACCGAAAAAAAAATATCGGTATTGTACCGACTTGTTTATATTTATACGTATTTTTATTATATTTATAGGTATTTTTATTATTATTATAATACTTAAAAAGTGATAAAAAAGTTATCAAATAGTGATAAAAATATACAAAATAATGTAAAAAATATCCACAAATGTGATAAATCACCAACAAAAATGATAATTTTTTTTATATAAAAAAAATAATAAAAATAATTACCACAATAGTGATAAAAACACTCACAAATATTATAAATCACTCATAAAAATTATAAATTTTTTGGTTGCAAAAAAATTATAAAAACATCCATTAAAATAGTAAATTTTAGAGATATGATACTGAACTTTTTTTGTCGATACCATAGTCAAATCCAATGGGAAAATGTATTGTGGATCAACAATAAAAATTTGGTTTCTAAATAATCAAAAGAATGAAAACACTTTTTCTTTCATAGAAATTGAAAGGAATCGGTGATTGAATTCGAATTTCTTCTATTTTAAGGTGCTTCGAGATTTGTTTAAACTAATGTTTGGAAATAAATTTATAAATTTTTTCCTCAATTTCTAATTTATTTTTGCAATATTTCCATTTTTTAAGAAATTGAAATAATGTACCAAACGAAATTTTGATCTTTTTGGTAGACATAACACTTTTGCCTTTATATATATAATTAATTTTTTTACTACCATTAAAAATAATAGTGATTAGATTTGAATCCAAGGCACAGATACTCGCTCTTTACCCTTGTGGGGAAGTACCTTTCAAATTTCAATTGATTGAAGACCACCTCCTCCCCCCCCCACCCAATGTTTCTTACTTATATTTATGCATTGACCACCTTCTTTACCGTTTGGCAAGACGTCATCATTACTTTCAAAATTAACGACCAATAATTATCCTAAGTATTATATAAAAAATTTGTTAGAAGGAAAATAGACCATTCATTCATTTATTCTTGGTCTTGTGAATAAATAGAAATAGACACATCATCATCTCGCCTTTGTCTCCATTATCACCTGTCTTGCTCAACCATAATGTTTGGTCATTTCTAGAAAGCACGAGCTATATTCATTTGTTACTGGAAAGATTCAGAGTTGTGAATTATATTTAATTAATTAATTAATAGCCCCAACTACTTAACGTGATAGAAATGTTGACATCAACAAAATATAATAATATTTCAAATTTCAAATTTGCTTCTGTTTTGATTGATTTTTCAATTCTTTAACAGAGCCAAAGAACATTAGAAAATTTTCAGAGTTTTTAGGGGTTTTTTTTTTTTTTTCTCTAATGGCACTAGTGTGAGAGGTTTCTATTTTATTCAACCAAAATGTGTGTGTTAATTTGTGCATGTTATGATAAAAAAAATTAAGTTTTTTCACATCGATTGAGTATAAGTGGTCTACTACCGATTCCTCTTTTATGAGGAATTGGTTTGTGAGTACCTCTTTACTAAGTGTGTTGAACTTAAAATTATGTGAATTTGTGTGTGTTAATTTGTTCACATTATGATAAAAAAAATGTTTATCACAATTAAAAATGTTCATTTACCCTATAGACAAGAAACGTGGCGGCCTAACATGATAGAGTGATGCTTTTGATTCTATTTTTCACTCATTTGAAATTCAATGCTTTTACTCATTTATTACTTTGGAATTTGTGTTATGGCTTTGTAACTAGGGCGGTTGATTAAACTAAGTTATTCGAGTTTGGCTTATTTAGGCTTGGTTTATTTTCTAAATAAACTCGAACTTGAATAAGTTTTTAGCTCGTTTAGAAATACAAGTTTGGCTCAAACTCGACTTGTTTATGTGCAAATACTCAGACTCGGTTTGGGTTCGACTTGTTTTGGACTTATTCAAGCCCATCTCATTTTTTAAACAAGTCAAAATTGAACAATTTTTTAGATTCTATTAAAAAATAAGTTTTTCAAGATCGGTTCGAATTCGACTTGAGCCCGTTCCCCTAATAGTCCTGCTTGCAACCAAAACGTTATCTTATTTGGTAGAGTATTGTCAGAGATCTTATAGATTTGTCTTCTTGAAGTCAAGGGTTCAAATTCTCCTTCTCTCTCCTCTCCCAAATATATATATATTGCGTCTTATCATATACCATTTTTCACTGCCTCAACCTAAAAAAGTTAAACTATAATTAATTATCAAAAACTTTTTTTTAACTTTATTGCGTGTGCATACTATAAGCTCAAGTCTTCTACAATGAGCGCTTGTGGATTCTCCCGTCTATATTTATTTTTTTGGCTCATGAAACGAGAGGGTGAGGAAAAAGAAGAGCGTTCAATGATCATCTATTAGATATTTATTGATGAATCATAAAGTCTTTGATCGCGTTAGAAACACCTCTCCATACAAGACTTAGATAGATTAACATAATGATCAATCACCAAAATTCAATAAAAACTTCAAAACTTGAATGTTTTTCCTTAATGCGAGAACTCTCCCAACAAGCTTTCCGAGAGGATAAGTATTACCATGACCGCACACCGACAAGAATTTCACGTCTAGTCAGACCCATCTATCCTTATTATACATTGAAAAAACACTTATCTATCAATAAATCATTTTTTACATGCAAAACGTGATTTAAATTGATCTTTCAATGGAAAATTTCAAAATCATGATTTGCCGATACATTTTTTTAAAAAGTGAATTAAAATTAAATCTAAATAAATAAGAAATAAGAAATCATGATAAAACCATATATCTACACTTATATTTATATTATTTATAAGTGTCAGCATCTCTGAAAAATATTTGATTTTTTATTTAATTTTTAATTATTATAATAAAGTCAATTATACAAACATGTATACTTTCATCTCATTTTTTTTCACACCTATTTGATGTTAACTTGTCTTGCATTCTTTTATAAGAATTTTTAAATTCTTTTGAACTCATTTATTAGTAGTACAATTATATACAATTATCTATATTTATATGTAGAAGTAAAGTCCTATACAAACAAATATATGTTATTTTTTAATTTTTAATTTTTTTGATTTTATTTTATCCTTAATTATTATAATAAAGTTAATTATACTCACATTTATACTTTCATCTCATTTTTTGTTTTTCACACTTATTTGACTTTTAACTTGTTTTACACTATTTTATAAATACTTCTAAATTTTTTTAAATTCATTTATTTGTAATACAGTTACACACAATTATCTATGATATTTAATCTGGTAACTACATGAGTATTAATTTAACATATATAGTATTTTACTTCTTTATATAGATATAGAAAATTATATACAACTGTACTACTAATAAATGAGTTCAAAAAAATTTAAAAATTCTTATAAAAGAGTCTAAAACAAGTTGAAAGTCAAATAAGAATAAAAAACAAAAATTAGATGAAAGTATATATATGGGTATACTTAATTTTATTATAATAATTAACAATAAAATAAAAAATTAATTTTTTTTTTTGTAAATGCTTACATTTAGAAATCAATCTAATAACTACATGTATATAATAATTTAACATATAGAGTATTTTACTTCTTTATATAAATATAAAAAATTGTATGTAACTATACTACTAATAAATGAATTCAAAAGAATGTAAAAGTCATTATAAAAGAGTTCTCATTTGAAAGTCAAATAAGAATAAAAAAATAAAATTAGATAAAAGTATAAAGGTAAATATAATTAAATTATTATAGTAATTAAGAATAAATTAAAAAATTTAGCTGATATTAATATTTATAAGTAGTATAAATAACAAATTAAATATTTTAAAACTTATAGAATAAACTAATAATTAATTGTAATAATAATTAAAATATAAATTAATTATTCAATATTTACTTTATTATTTAAATTTATTTACCTATAAAGTATATCGTGCATTATTAGTTTAGTCTAAGGACAACTTTTTCCTCTTTGAACAGGGTCCAAACATGTGGGTGAGTGGCATGAAGCCAAGAAAGACATCATGAAAATAAGTAACCAATCAGCATGCACCACACCCCAAAAATCAAATCAACGATTGCATCACTAATCCCTAACAAAGATAATTTAAATAAAATTTAAATATATATCATTCTTTAGATAAGTGAAAAATAAATTGGCCCACTGAAAAAATTAATAAAATTTACTCATTTAAGATAATATGTATTTAAATTATAATTATGTAAATTTTATTTGGGTGTTTGTAGGGTTGTTCATGACTAACAGGGGGAAGTAAAATCCTTATACCGCATGCTTTTGGGTAGTGGGACCCTTATACTGGACCTTTTGTTTGGTTCCGGGGAGGGTAATATCTCTCCTCTCTGTATATCAAGAAGGTGGAGATCCAATAGTCTAGAGTCTGCTATATATAGAAGCAGCTGAGCACTTGCACATTATATACAGACATCTTTCTCTCTCACACACACATTATATACAACAGCCCAACAATTCATAGGTGACTTTGATGGCTTGGTGTGTATTGCCATTGATTATCAGTCGGTGCTCTCTCTTGCGTCGGACAATTCCTGCTTGCCAATTTTCTCAACCCAGATTTGATTCCAGGTTCTTTTTCCTTTCTTACCTTTTCTTTTTCTTTTTTTTTTTCCCCAATTTGCTTCATCGTTGGGATGTGCCAGTTATACATATGTGTGTGTGTGTGTGCGTGCATATGAATCGTTTGGTGATTTGCCACATTCAGAGCAACAGTCTCAGGTGCTTCTTCAATTTATGATGATGGTTTCGTTCTTTTCTGTGAATTTTATTTCTCTTTCAATGTCTCTTTCTTTTTCATACCTATATTCGGGTTTTATATTCTCTTGTTCTTTCTTTCTTTCTTGGGTATCTTCCAGATTTCACCAACATTCATTCTTCATATAAGCATGGGTACACATAAGATGGATGAAGAAGGAACATGGTGTTCTTCTTTTCTTCAAATTCAATGACCTTTGACGGGGGAGGAAGACATCGGTGCCGACTTGGATACCTAATTGAACATTATTATGATTTTACTTTTTTAACTTCAATGATAAAAAAAAAGTATTGTGATTCAAAAATATTATGATGAATTTAAAAAAAATATATTTATAATTAATTGAACTTGATAAATCATAACCTTAACTTCACTTTTTTATTAATTAATTTTTTTTTGTTTGTTTGTTTGTTTGGTTGGTGTCCTAGAATTAGCCTATGGTGAGAGTGTACTACCTGGTTTTGGTTTTATTATATTATATAGTTGTTTATTTTGTGGTTAGTTTTGGGACGTGTGGTTGGTGTTGGATGTATATGCATGAAGGGTTCCCACAAAATCTGGATTTATTCTCATTAAAAAAATAATTTATTTTTGGGTTTTTTCCACTTCAAACCCTCATTATTTTATTCTTTAAAATATTCTATATTCTGTGTCTTCCTCTTTCGTAGACCACAAAAAACAAAAAAGGGTATATGTAATGTATAGAAGCAGTAGGTAGATACTGTTTTGGTCCCCTTTTCTAGTCAAAAGAGAGTTTTTATTTGTATGAAATGTGTATTAACTAACACTTTTGTCTAGTGATGGTTAAAGGTAAGAACAAAAATATTTGATTTTGTTTAATGCTGTGGCAACATGATAAGATATCAATGATTGAAAAAAATTGTATATTCCAATTTGAGTACAAATTTGCCAGGGGTGGCAAATGGTCGGTTATGGGTTGGGTTAAAATAAATTCAATCTATTTTTTACTCACGTAGTAAATGAATTGGGTTTATAACGGTTTGGGTTAAACCGATTAACCCATAAAATAATTAAAAATTTTAATAGACACATTAGTACAGTTATACACTAAAAATTTTAATATTTTTAATAAAAATATGCACACTTATACACTAAAAATATGCATACTAATACACCAAAAATACACATACATATACTAACATAAAAACTAAAACACATTTAATAAAAAAAAATACACACATAATGGGTTGGGGTCAATTGTAGGCTATGGGTTGGTTGTGGGTCATGGATCGATCCATGGGTCATGGGTGGTGTATTAGTGTGTGTATTTTTAGTGTACTAATGTATGTATATTTTAGTGTATTAGTATATATGTGTGTATTTTTTTTGTATAATAATATGTGTATTTTTTGATATATTAATATATTTATTTTATTTTATTACTTATGCTATTTAATAAAAAGATAAATATTCAACTCAATGGGTACCTATTTGTAATTCATATTAACCCGCTTAATTAAAATGAATCATATTATTTAATTCATTTATAACTCATATTAATTAATATAGGTATCCAACTCATTTATTTATGGATAGATTAAACGGATTAATAGGTAATGGATTAAGATTGCCACCTCTAATATTTGTTAGAAGGGATTAGCCTCGTGGTCGGTTCGTTCCCTCCTAAGAACCTCGATTAGCTGGGTAGTAACCTTTCATACACATATATATATATATGATCCAATTAAACAGCTGCCCCTAAAAAAAATGCTGGGAAAGCTAGAAATTTTGTTCTTTTTTATGTGCAATACTATTCCTATCAAGTTTATTAGTAGTATTTCTTTATAAATGGGGTCTGGTGGGATTTTCTTGTCCAATGATTCACATAAAGTTGAGAATGAAAAATCTTGACAACTCTTAAAGTTAAATTTATCTTTCATGAATATTCTATTTTTAACATGGATAATCTGTCTTTAACCAAATCAGGAGAGGAGATTAGTCGAGATGTACGTAACTTGATCCGTACATCCTTGACCATTAAAAAAAAAACCAAGAGAATGAAAATTTTGATTTAAAAAAAATAATCAATTTGTACTGTTGAAGACCCAATAAACATAGTTTATAGAACTTGTGGCCGTTGGTTCACTTTTTTGGCTCTTTCTGAGTTTGAAAGCGTAGACACATCACTGGAAACCCAAGTCCCGACAGGTGGTGGTACCTTCACGGTTCTTTCCCTTCCTTCCCTAATTGACGACAATCCTTTTATCCTTTTCAAAATACTATTAAAGATTGGTATTTTTGTTGTTGTTACATAACCTCTTAGCTTAACCCCTTTACAGATTTTTTTGAGCTTTACCATTTTTGATGCATAAAACTTCATCAAAACTGTTTCTCCGCACGTGAAGTAAAACTGTAAAAGTTGACTCTTTCCCAGATTCAGTAATGACAAACATCTTGGAATGTATTAAATTTGTGTATTTCTTTGTTGCTGCTTCCCAGGATATTCCTTCTCTTCTATTAGAATTAGTATTCGTATTGAGGAGTAGAGTGGATAAAACACACAAGTTGTTCAAAATTAAGTAGGCCAGACCCATCTGCTGCTTGTTTCATTGAGAATTCCTGCAAAAAAAGGAGAAAAAAAATATGGGTTTCTGGACACTGTTCGAGGTGGCATCAATGCCAATACTGCAAGTGCTCATAATAAGCTTGTTGGGAGCTCTCATGGCAACTGAATATCTCAATCTCCTACCCGCAGCTACCATAAGGTCGCTGAACAAGGCAAGGAGGGACTCTTTATATGTGTTTTGGTCTCTCTTGAGAGAGTGGATTGTGGTTGTATTGAGACATTTATGTTTTTCATTGCAGATTGTGTTCATTGTGTTTACTCCTGCGCTCATGTTTGCGAGCTTGGCCAAGACAGTCACCCTTGAAGACATTATCTCATGGTAGGGTACCAGTTTTTTCTATGTGCAGTGTTTGCTGTCTGTTCTTCTTCTTCTTATTATTTATTGCTAGGGTTTATAGTTTTCAACGCAGGTAATAACCTGGTTGAATCACCAAAACTATTTAATAAATGGGACGACGTGAATCGACTTAATTCACAATATGCACCTGACATGACACCAACTCGACTGGGCTGTACACCGCTGTGAATTAGTTGGGTACGAGTTGAAAAAGTTTTAGACAAAAAACTTGCACAACATAGAAATACGATACGACTCATGAACAGTCCTAGTAATACCTGATAAACTTGAGTACAGATGAACATGTATTCTCAAGTAATTACAATAAACTGAATCACAAGATATTTCAAGACCCCAGAAGATGAGTTGTAGAATTTTAGAACATATTACAGAACTTGATCTGTGCAGAAGTTATAATATCAGAAAATCAGAACAGAAGTTGCTGGAGGTAAGTAATCAAGAGGAAGATGTTGAAAAAATTCCGTACTCCTCTCAAATTTGTATTGCAAATGAAACTGTAACTTCAAGCATTGAAAGAACTAAACAGTAGTGTGGTTATGAAAACTGAGATCCTTTTGTTCAATGGATGGTGAAAATTTGAACATCAAGTATCATGGCCTCCATTAAAGCCTCACACATTGGAACATGATAATAGTCACCAAAACTCGAGGCCTAGTGTTCCTAACTTGTTCTTGTTTTCCTAATTTTCAGGTGGTTTATGCCTGTCAACATTGGGATAACCTTTCTTTGTGGAGGAATACTTGGATGGATAGCAGTGAAATTGCTAAAACCAAAGCCACATCTAGAGGGCCTCATCATTGCCACATGTTCAGCAGGTACTCAATCTGAGTTTGCTGCTTCCAGGCCCTTCTTCTTATCGAAATTCAATTTCTTATCGGCTTCTTGTCTCGAATACTTGTCAATAGGAAACCTGGGAAACCTTCTCTTAATCATTGTCCCAGCCATCTGCACAGAGGATGGCAGCCCATTTGGCGATCATAGCGTTTGTGCTTCAGTTGGCCTCTCCTATGCCTCTTTCTCAATGGCGGTAAGGCGATATTACATGCTCCCTTATGCCTGATCACCAGACAAAAGTCGTGGCATACAATATGCTCAAAAGCATTGCAATCTAACACATGATATGCAATGCAATGCAAATAATTAAATAGAACATCGATAAACCAAGGAAGCTGAATCTCAGCACGCCAATATGTACAATTTTGATATGTTGAGAATGAACAACGAACCTATTGAGGTGAGAAAACTTTTCTAGGTTCTTATCATTAAGTGCTTTGGTTTTGCAGCTTGGCGGATTCTACATATGGACTTATACTTACCAATTGGTACGGAGTTCAGCTATGAGATACAAAGCACTGAAAGCAGTTGAGGATGTCCCAAAGGAAGCTGAGGATGTCTCAAAGGAACCCAACAAAGATTTAGAGGCAGATGAGAAGTCTTATCTTCTTGAGGAAGAAGGTCAAGAGAATGTTGCTATAGTTGTGGCATCAACAGAGTCCCCTGAAGACAATACAGAAAACAAAGCTGTAAGTTCCCTTTGTTTCAAAATCCTAACGTGCAGTCAATTTATTGGTGTGCAATGATCAAATTTTCATTTCGCTTTCATTGAAATGACCAAAATGTTTTGAAATCGAAACGAATATAAATGCCTTTATTTCGAAGTGTTTTTGGTAAGTTTAAGACGCTTTCAATGTCAGTGAATTGGTGCTCCAGTATGAAATTTGGTCAAATCAGTGGCTAAACGGTTTTTGAAAAATGTCAGTGTTTCAATGCATCAGCCCCTTTGAGATTTCATGGCATTCTATTTGCAGATTGTGCTTCAAAAATCATCCAGCAATCTGAATAAAGAGAATGTATCATTCTGGACAAAATTAGCAGGAATTCTCCACCAGTTTTTGGAGGAGCTATTGGCACCTCCCACCCTTGGAGCAGTGAGTTTTTCACATTTTCAACTTTCATTTTATGTGCTTAGAGTTCCTAATGTTTCCATTCTTACAAAGATTAACAATAACATCCAAATCTCGATGTACTTTCAGATTGTAGGATTTATCTTTGGGGCAACAACATGGCTGAGAAACCTTGTGATTGGTGATGATGCACCATTGAGAGTCATCCAGGACTCTGTTACTTTACTTGGGTATGTCAAATTCCCATTCAGTTATAACTTGTAAATGAATTTAATTAGAATAGCTGGTCTAGTCAACACACGGGTGACAATTCATGTCGTGTTGTGTGACGCGTGTCGTGTCATTGTTATTCGTGTTGTATACATGTCAAGATCCATGAAATAACATCTATTTATTAGTGTGTTCCGAGTGTCAAACATTAGTCTCGACCTTTTATTATGCGTATTTAATAATCGTATCAATTTTAATATCGTATCGAGTTCATATCAACGGGTTGAGTTGACACCCACCATCTCTTTATGAGTTCAAGTAGATTCCTAACCATCACTATATTTTGTATTTCACCTCCAAAATGTAGTAATACCTAGAATTTATACCACTAATCAAACTGAAAGCAAAATAATTTTTGGGTGCAGGGATGGAACCATACCATGCATCACTCTCATTCTAGGAGGCAATCTTACACAAGGTAGGAAGAATTAATTTGTGGTGCATGCTGAAAAGGGTGAGATTACGGCTTATTCTGGCGAGGTTTTATGAGATCGTTTAGGATTCACTCTAAAATATTGAGATGGATCTTAAATTATTACAATCGATACCAACTTTTTTAGTTGTGACTCGTACCGGTGAAAGTCGTAATCTCACCACCAAATTGACTCGTAATCTCATTCTAACAAGTTATGAGTAAACTGCACAGGCTTAAGGAAGGCAAGATTAAATCCTTTTGTCATCGTTGCCATCATTTGTGTGCGGTACGTGATACTCCCAGTGATTGGGATTGGTGTTGTGAAAGCAGCAGGCCATTTTGGGTTCCTTCCATCTGATCCGCTCTACCACTTTGTGTTGATGATTCAATTCACTGTGCCACCTGCAATGAATATAGGTAAGGTGCTATTAAGCATATCTCATGTATTCGATCCCTTACTGTCTCTATTCTTTGTTGCAAACCTCTATACTTGCAAAGGTATCTAAGGCCTAGTTGCCTTTTTTTTTTTCTTTTTTTTTTTGGTTTTTTGGGGGAGGAGGAAAACGGATTTGAACCCTTGACCTCAAGAAGGCAAAACCTTCACAAGGTAAGGAGTACCATTGGACCAAAGGCTTATTGCTTTAAGGCCTAATTGCATTTGGTATGTAGCTAAGAAGTACGAACACGAATACGGGATACGGATACGACACGACACGTACACGTTGACACGAAATTTTTTTAAAAAGTAGGACGCGGACACGTTAGCGATACATTAAATAATATGTATTTTATATATATGTATATATATAAAATCATGTGATAAAATAAAAATATTATCATAATAATCTTTTAATTCATTATGTTCCTAATTTTAAAAATTTACATTATGATATTATTGCATGAAAAGTATAATATAAGATATATTAATACACATACAATATTAACATCCATAATTCAATAATCAATGACTTCTACAACTTTTACTTTAAAAATATTTCATTTCATAATACTAATTTTCATCAAATTCCAAGAGCTTCAATTTTGTAATCCCATTTTTTCTCACATTACTTTTATATTAAAAGATTATTCTATTTGTATATAAGTTTGTATTCATATCCAAAATTATATTATATTCATGTCCTATGTTCAATGTAATTATTATAACTTCTTTTATATTATGATTGTGATTCATATCCCTTTAAAATTATAAAAATAATTCCTAATTATAAAATTATTTGAAAAGTTCTCAAAAAAATTGAAAATAAATCTCAAAGCGTGTCTCCCAGCGTGTCCCAACGTGACTTGAACGTGTCAGCCACGTGTCCCAAAAAAAATTTAATAATAAAAAAATCGGACACTCATTTTAACGTGTCCGACACGTGTCTGAAGCGTGTCCGTGTCCGTGTCCGTGTCTGTGTCCGTGTCCCAGACATGTCCGACACTGACACTCTGCCCAAAATAAAGTGTTCGTGCTTGTAATGCCTTTAAAAGGTTAAAATGGAATGAATACAGGAATGGATTGCAATGTACATTATGATTCTAATGTTTGATAACAACTAAGATTAAGTAGTAGAATAGAACTAAAAATTCACTTAAATAAATATTTTGATAATTCCTAACCTAGATTGGACCCCGACCCCAAACTTGGACCGGACAGCTATTATTAAGTTGAGTGCGCTTTCGCTCAGACCACGGACGTGGAAGCAGACCCCAACCCGAACCCTAACTCAGCCGCGGACCTCGACCCTGGACCCTAGACCTAACCCCGATCCCAGGTGGTGGTGGTGGTGACAAGTGATGGTAGTTGAAAATAAAAAATACTATCAAATATTTAGGAATGATAAATCCTATATTGATGGAATTAAGAATTTAGTGGTAATAAAAATGAATTTTCATTACTACATACCATATATTGGAATGAGCATTTCATTTTCATACTTCATTACTACCAACCAAACGCAAAGTGGATGCGGCAAACACATTGGTCAGTAAATATTATTAGGAGACATGAATGTTTGGACAGGTTGGACGGAATGAGAGGTTAACACTCGCTCAGTCCAATTATAAAACCTTCAACCCGAGTTTAGCCCAATCCCAAATTCAGCTTGAACTATTTAATGTTACTGATGTTGAAGTTTTTAACTCTAAATTGAATTCTGAGTCTAATTTTTGGTCTTGAAGGTTTGGTTCAAATAGGTTAAGATTATCTAGTTACACTACTAAGTTAGAATTTACCAACCGAATTTACTAATTCGAATTTAATGCTCAGATTAGATCCTGAAAACATTAAGACCCAAAGCTAAATATTATCATGATTTAAATCAATCTATATTTTTTGTCAAAAACCCAAACCCAAGTTATCAAATTCTTATTACACAAGTACTAAATATATCGGATTGAGTTTGTGTTGACCAGCCCAAGTTGCACTAGGAAACCATATTGATTAGTTGTACCTTCTTTACATTGAGCTTATCACCGTTTGCTAATTCTGCATTTGTTGGATGTAGGTACAATGACCCAACTGTTTGATGTTGCCCAAGAGGAGTGTTCAGTCATCATGATGTGGACTTACCTGGTTGCAGCCCTTGCGCTCACTCTATGGTCAACAGTCTTCATGTGGATCTTGTCCTGAAGGCCTTGGCAGAATCACCGTCCCATAAAGGTCTTACATACAGAACAAAGATGATAGAGAAAGAAAGCCACACCCATATTTATTTGGAATTCTCCTACTCCCTCAATTATATTATTCATTTGTGTAATGAGTGTGTTTGTTTATAGTGAAAATTTCCCCTTATTTTTCTCCTTTTGTTTTGATTTTTCCCATGTAATTTATTGTCTGATTTCAAGTCTAGTGAACTGAGAGTCGAAAGCTCTAGAGTCTTTGTTAGGACATTATATGTTGTGCTGGCATATTTTAAAATACAAGCATGTTTTTTAAAATTTGTCTCATGTTATTGGGCCAATGTTATAAAACAAAATGGCAACCAAGTGACTTTTTGAATTACAGGATCAAAAAAAGCGGTAAATGTAATCCTAAGAAGTGACTCGAGTAATAATAAAGACGAGACGAATTGTAAATTTAGACGTTCTGAGTTTAAATCTTGACAATTTTTTTGGAATCAAGTTATGAGAGATTTATTTTTCATGAATATGTTAATCCCGAGTAGATGGTCTCCTTTGATTGAATCGAAAAGAGAATTAGTTAAGGTGTGCATAACTTAGCCTAAACACCTGACTGTTGCACCAACAAAAAAAATGAAAAAGAGTTAGATGTATCGAACCATATTGTCGTGTGTAGCAGAACTTTTCCATAACTAAAACCCATAAAACTGAATCACAATAGAGCCACCTTACCACTACTGGAGACCCGTCTTTGGGCTATAACATATAGTATGTGATCTTGAAAATAAGGTTGCATTTTCCACTAGTATAGTATGCCCTTTCCTCGATGAGATACAAAACCTGATGGGCCAATTTATTGGGTCAAAAGTGGGCTAAATATGGGCTTTTCCAAAAAAAACCCATATTTAGCCTACTTTTGGCCCATGGCCCTTAAAAATAATTTAAAACCTCATTTTAAGCCCAAATAAAAGCCTATAGACATCAACTCATATTTAACCCACTTTTGGCCCAATAAGTCAGTTCACTGACATTGAGAAGTAGTAAAATGATTGATAAGACTTTCAAAGTCAAAATCTTTGAATCGGGGCTAAATCATGCCCTATAAATGATCCAGTCGAGTCTAAACCTCCTGTTTGATGTATATGGCTGCTGGACCTAAAGTTATAACTAACTTGGCACACTTCCTATAATAGCCATTGGGCTAAGTCTCTATAAAAAGTCACTCACATCTTTATTTACAGTTCGGTGTGAGATCAACTACGATTTTGAGAGCAAATGATGGGTTTGGAGACCACCTGGAAAATATCGTACCTAATTCAGCAGGCACCGTCCATAACTGAAAACCAAATAGGGGCAGAATTGATCAACAAAAACCTCAAGAAATCGCTTGCAAATTTAAGAGGTCCGATGTATGCAAAAATATAGCAAACAACAGTTCTGATGACAATGAAAATGTCTGTCTGTCCCTTTTAGTAACAAAGGGGAGTTCCACAAAAATAATGGTTCATGCAGCAAAATAAAAGAATTATATTAACTCAGTCGCGTCACATAATACACTCGAGGCACTTGAACACTTTCGCAACAATAAAGACCACTATTACTTTACAGAACAGCTCATAATCTATTACTATTCCTCAAACAAGTTCCCTTATCTTCTCCATTATTCCTAAGCTACATGCCCCTGGTCAAGTGTAAGTTGGAGTTTTGGCCGGTTGGGCTGGGGCTCCACAACCTCCATGTGAATTCTCACTGTTTGAAGAACACCATAGCTAATGCTGCCATCGATCTTTTTAACCTTCTGTTGTTGCTCATCTACCAACCATTCACCCCCTCCCTTCTCACCTCTTGCCATCAAGTACACAGGCCCTTCAATACCATACCTGCAATAGATCATTAGCAAGACAAAATAAGATACAATTGATAGATATAGATAAATAGGTAAGGCAGTGACTCTCTCTTTGAGCAGGGAAATATTATATCTGCTTGGAAGCGCACTAGGACATTCCATATCAATTGAGTCACTCTATAGCATGCTTTACATTTACTGAAATGGAAACTTATTCTTTAACCATTGTCAAAAACGATGGCTGTCATTTTCTGAAATGGTCTGATTTGCAAGATGGAGTTGCGTGTACATTATTATACCATCAAAAAGAGGAGTCATGAAATTTAGTTTAGATGTACAAAAATTCTCCTAATATCCAATAAAAATTAAGAATATCAAATCAAATGCGGCCAAACAGAAACATTGAACTAGAAGAAAAGATTCAATGACACAAGGACAGAAGGCATACTTGGGCACAAAAACAATGAAGCCGTTCGATCTTATTTTCACTATTCTGGCCTCCGTATCTGTGGGCCTGCAAGAGCATGACAAATACACATGGGAGAGAGAGAGAGAGAGAGAGAGAGAGAGTCTGTTCGAACTTGAAAGGTACCTATTACATACCTTTTCCTGAAATAGATGACCGTATGGAGCTCCACTGAAGCCCGGCTCGCCATCTGGGCATTTCTATGCCGATAATTTAAATCTGGATAAAAAACAAAAGGAAGCATGATTCTTACAATTCAAACTGAAGACATGAGATGAACATTAGCATGCTCAAAAGAGTCAGCAATTAACAGACGTTGATTGTATCCCAGTATCTCAATAATACTATCACTTGCTCAAATCACGACCATACTGGTATACATAGATTGCAAGTCGCTTTAAATAAAAATCCCTCAAATATATCAGTTCAGCAATTATCAATCCAGAATTTAAGGATCCATAGCAAACTTGAAGATAAGCCCTCCAATAGCCCATTAAGTATTTTCAAGCCATTCATAAATCCATATCAGGACATCGATCACCCAGTTGCCTCATTTTGTCCTTTGTTTCACGCATTCTAAGCATTTTAGGGGACTATCAAAGTTGAACTATCCACAGGGAGCATGGAAGACAAGATAAGCATATAATCATGAAATCATCTTAAGAATTTAAGATGAGTGTGTCATACATATCTGAGCAGTTAATAAGGAAGACACTATAACACATACAGGTGGACAATCCATTCCAAACTCCTATAAGATCAGCCACAACATGATTACAGGAAATCAGTAAAAGAGTTGTTTTTTTAATTGTTCAAACAGATCAATTCTGATTGACACATAACATGTAAACACACTAGCCCATAAAAAGATGGAGAAAAAAACTTATCATGCACAACAGGTTCCAGTCTAGCTATATGTAGAATGAATAGTGTGTTTGGAAATGATGGAAGTTAATCCTTACTGTCAGAGATACTGGTAAGCTGGGCTCTGTCTTGGAATATGTCTGGAAGCTTGTATATTCCCAAGGATGCAGCAAGCAACCTGTGTACAATGACATCTGCAGGCGACGGAAATTCTACCTCAAAAGGTTATTAAATCACTAGAAGTTAATGACACGTGATTCTATCTCTCACTAACCTGCATATCTCCTTATAGGAGAGGTGAAATGCGTATACAGAGCCGCTGCAAGCCCATAATGAAAAAATTCCGGAGGACTGAGATCCCCACTACAAAAGTAAACTGCCTGACATGGTAGATTGTAGACATTACAATATATTAGGTGGTCCCAAGAGCAGTAGATCATACACAACACAATATATTTAGAAGGCTCTCATACACAAAATAATTTCAAAAGAAAAAGGAATGTACATTCACTAAATCAATCCAGTGAATTACCTGTGTCATGCATCTGGTCACCAGAATGCGAATAAGCTTATTGAAGTATGGATCGTCACCCTGAAACATGTTTTGGGGGGGTTGGAATCTTATACAATTGAACATATAAACAGCCATGGATATGCATAGACATATATAAAGTGTTTCAATAAATCTACTGCATATACACATTAACCTTCAACCACAAAGTTATCATGTGAGAGCTCCAATCTGTTCACAAAATTGGAAGCAATGCTATAATTTGTAAGTTACATAAAAAAAATTTATCCAATGATTTCCTGCTTTGTCAACATCATAATGCCATGTATGGCGCCTACAGCAGCTGCACACACAAGAGTCACTCGAGAGATGAAAACAACCTTCCTTGTAGTACAATGCTACAAAGAGTAGAACAGACTGGAGCCGATGATCTACAAAGATTCATGCCTCACTGATCTGCTGCGCTCTCCGACATACTGATGTCATTTTAATTATTTACTCTCCAATATAGTATAATTATCCATAAATAATACTTAACAGATATTAAAACTATATCCGCATTTATTTTTTTATAGGGGCTCAAAACAATCTCTCAAACTTAGTTATTCTAAAAGTCTGCTCTTGCTCTTTGCTTTGATCACATAAGTTCATAGAGAATACGCTTGCTTGACACACTTTAAGTTTTTGTAAAATATTGAGTCCAAAAGATATGCAAAACTCGTTGTTTCATTGATGGAAAAAAAAGGGGAGGAGAAATGACGCTTAGGCTAGATGCATCAGATTTACGTTTTTTTCAGTTTGTGCGTGTTTTTTTTTGGAGGGTGTGTGTGTTTGTGTGTGTGTTTTGCCATAACTAACACATGTTCATAGTAGACAACTTACGACAGCACGATCAAGCGAATCAGCCAGTGCTTTTGATGATGTCACATCCAAATCAATACCGACAGCAGCAGCTGTACGAAGCAAAGGTTCAAGAATCTCTTTGGTTGGACTAGGATGGCGCCTGCAAACAGAAGATAGACCACAAAACGAGTGCCATTCAAAGATCGATAAGAGAAGTAAAACTAGTTGCCACACTTATAACTTATAACTCATAATTCTACAAGGTAATTATAAATATAAGACAGAAATTAAAGGATAATGGTTCTACAAAGTTTGTCATAACAACAGAACATTATTCGCCCGTCACAACAACATGGAGAAGCATGCTGGTTTAAGTATCCATCAAGATACTTCTGCTTTCCGGCAATAATATTCACTTGTCTGCATCATCCCAGCCATCATGTTACACTAATTGTAATGGGTGAAGTGTGGATCATGCAACCTACTTCTCACAATCTCACTCTCAGAGTCAATCCACAACCAAAATGAGTGGAGAGGCCCCTCTAACACATAAACCAACCTTAGATGGTCCAAATGTTTCAATTTGTAATACAATCTCTCTTTACACCATCAGGTTACCACGTGGACAAACATGCATACCAAAAAATTTGAATGGGTAAGAGAATTGGGTCACTAACCACTCAGAACCCAACTACAATACCTTGTTAAAGCGTCTCTTGTTCTCTTTTTCAAACCCAAATTTAAATTTGAGTAAAAAAATTCCTAAAAACCTTCTTTAATACTATACCCAAACTCATACCAAATCAAGGAAACTCAATGTTTTACTCAAATCAAGGGAGACTCAAACCTTTATTCAAATCACCAATGGTTAAATTTCATTTTCCTTTAAATATCTAATGATCATATTATAACCTCATTTAAATTTGAATTTGTCTTCTTTTAAGTTTGTGTTTCCCCGTAGAGAGTTTTATACCAAATCAAGCTTTTTACTCAAATATTGACTTAAATTTAAGTAAAAAATTGAGTCAAGTGTGGAGATGCTCTTAGACGCATCAGGCCCAAAACCAATTGGCATTGGGTGGAGAGACCCCTCAACCATATAAACGAACCTTGGGTGGCCCTAATCTTCCAATGTGGATAGAAGCATTCCTTACAATCACATGTCCATGCACCACTAGAAAAGGGATTAAAAAGTTGTCAAGCAAGGAGTCAACTAATTCTTTTAAATACTTTTTTTCCTTTCTATTGCCTAATTTCATGAAATATTTCTAACATTGATTTATTTATTACCTACCTTTTAACTTCTTAGGCTCATTGTCTGAGCTAGAAGAGACACATTATAGAAACTACACATGGGTCACGCATTCTTTACAAGATTGTCCTCCTACAATCACAAACTCTGACATTATAGTATTATACAATCTAAAAAGTCCAGACATGTAATGAAGAGGGGGTGTTAAACCTGGATTACCATCAGAGCACTCTCTAGCCTTCAAGATAAAAGCGTGTTGGCAAATCAACAAATTTAAGAGACACAAACAGAAATAACCCATGAAAAACAAACTCTGAATGTACCTTAACAGGGAACATAAAGGAAAATGTTTCAAAATCTTTTCAGCAACCGAAACATTAGCAGCAAGCATCAACTCCTCAACCATTTGGTTTGCTTCTCGAATTTGATACATTCCTGCAGATACAGCTCATTTATTAGCATTAACACAGAAATACAGAAGGTACGATAATAGGAAATAAATGAAAGAAAAACAACAAAAACAAGGATAGATATGGGTTATTTAATCAATAGGTAAAACTACTAATGAGAACTTTGATATGAAATGGCTCCTTATATACAAAAATAAAACTAAAAATATAGCATGCCCTATCCAAATGAACACAAAATATAAATCATCAATTTTCTGATAGAAAATATTGGAGCCTAATAGCCCAACAGGAATCACCAACCACACAGATAACATATAACAGAAAACACCCCAACAAGGTACTAACATGATTTTTTATTTTTTTTGAACAAAAGGTGCTAACATGATTGATCCACCAGAAAAAATGGCAACATTTTCTACAAACTTCCTAATGGATGCTGCAGATGGAAAGAAATAAGAGTGATGTTTAACAAAGAGAAACGTTTGAATAAATTGATATGTTTATTCAGCTCGCATATATCAGCAAGACTAAGATCAATTTTGAATTAGAGCCTATATGCATCTTGCTTTAACGAGTTAAAAAACGATAGCAATAACATACCAATATCAAGAGGATCGTGAGTTTCAGTGTCAATTTGAAATTTTACTTCAGCAGAAGCAAGGGTTAATGCCCCTCTTGCAATACGCCTAAGCCTCATCATCTACAAAATTGTGAATGTAAAGATACTTTGCATGGATATCCAGAAAAACAAAAACACAAAAGCTCAGTTCAAGCATCCTTAGCCTACACCCTGATGAATGAAATGACTAAAAGGACAAATAACAGTATCTATACCTTGGCCAAAGCATTCATATTTCGCAAATCTGTAGTTACTTGATCCATCAAGCGACTGCAGATCACAAATTAATGCAAATAAGTAAACTGGAAGGAAAGAAAACAAGGAGAAACAAGTGAAACACAATCTTCTCATATGAGAATGTTACAGAAAACACAAGAGTAAAAGACCCAACACCCATGTAGCTTCTTCACTGAATTAGGGTTGAAAGGGTGTGCATAAACAACGTGAGGAATGCAATAATGCCATTTTTGGGGTGGGAGTGGCGATGGGCTTTTTTTTGGGTGGGTTGTCGAGAGGGTGGAAGGGGGGGGGGGAGGTACACAATGAGACAAGCATAAGCCTTTTTATGTTGAATATTCATTGCACTACAGTGTCACAGCATAAACCATGGCCACACAACATAGTACTTATCCCATGTGTACATCTGTTAAATCAGGTACATGCAACACTACAACTAAACTGGAACAACACCTAACTTGATTAATATTTTATTTTCTGAAGCTATTGGAACTGAGATTTCTTGTAAACAAGTATTCATTCCACCTTAAAAGACGTCATGAATGAATACACACAAACTTTTCCATTGTATATTAAAAGTATATAGCTAAACAATGTTTAGTCATCTATGATGAGAAGTGATTGCAACAGAAATGATGATTTAGTTGTGGTTGTAGGAGAAAGGCATGATGGTGAAAATATCATTCAGCTCATAGTTCCTTAGAAGTAAACTAAAACGGATAGGGTATCAATAGAGCTGTGATATATAAGCACCTATCATCCATCCTAGCTTGAGCTTCAACATAAGACAACGCTGCACACGACTTAATCACACTTTTTGTATATCTTGTTGAAATAATTTCTGCTTCAGGCGTCATTTCCTGAAATATAAATAGTATAGACATGTTAGATGGCGGTTGGTCTGACATTGCACATGCGTACAGACATTAACTTCCCGCCCCCCTAAAAAAATCAAACCAACAAAAAAAGAGGCACACAATCAACGAAACATACATAGACCTTCCATTTACCAATATAATTGATAATATAGTATGATGCCTCCAAAATGTAAGTAAGACAGTAAGAAGCATTCACATTCAAGTAACACCCTGATAGTCAAATAATATGAATTCAAGAAAAGATAAAGAATAAGAAAATGTAAATTTAGCAAACAGATAAGAGCATTGGGTTGGATAACTTATTTTAAACTCAAAACAAGGCAATCAGCCAAAAAGAAACAAAAACTCAAAACAAGGCTTTCTCCTGCCAACAAGCTTCAACTCTACTGTTCTTAAACCCAAACTGGATCATATGAGTGCAAGCCGCCAAAATAAGCCGCACCAAGTACAAAAGGGTCCTATTCATAGCAGGGTCTAGGAGGGATAAGTGGTTGGCACCCCCATTATGGAGAGATGGATTTCCAGACTCAACCCAAAAAAGGAATCATTTGGGTGGACAAGCTTTTGCTATCGCTCTAGGTCCAACCTCTATTGAGCTGCGAAAATATTGGTCCAAATTTTCAAAGCTACTAAATGACCTATGAATATAGAATATTTGGGGTTTTGAGGATCCTAATAAAAAAAAAACAGCAATCCAATGCACAAGACTCCCACCACTATAGGACATGGTGAGGGGCTGATGTACGCAGCCTTCCTTACCCCATGCAGGTCAATGTGCTAATTTCTATAAGACATTTTTCTTTATGTTATAAGACATTTAATTGATACCTAACATATTCATACAAATGTAAATACAAAATTTAATGTTTCTTTGGTTTCATAGTCCCATACAGAATTGCAAGTGTACAAATTCAGCTCAATTAGATAAAAAACGTCCACATAAAACTCACTACAAACCGAAGAAATGTGGATCACAGCTGCCAGAAATCAAATCATTATAGAAGGAAAGAAGCACGTACCCAGATAACAGAGAAAGCTAGTCTTTCCACATCAGCGCGAAGCGAACAAATATCTGCAATATGAAAAATTATGTCTGAGTGAGCTACCAAAAGAGCTTTTGTATTATAATATTTTAACAGGCCATGACATCAATCTGTTATTTAGGTGCATGGTTTTTGCATCCAACAACTTCACCAAATCTCACTTGAAAAGAAACATTACCTTCTGTTAGAGGTTTTGGAAGCATGTCAATTCGGCGCTCAACAAGGTAAACAGAAGTTCCCCTCTGTGCGGCCTCATCATCCAGGGGAGTTCCAGGGTGAACAAAATTTGTGACATCAGCAATATCTAATTATTATTAAGCAGTAACAATAAAAACCCATCTCTATATTTTCAACAGGAACTGGCACAGAACCATCTTAAGAAATTCAAAAAATGCCATGACATCATTGGCTTTGGTAGCCCTTCAGAGAAAAGCAATCACAATCTTCTAACGACACTTGATTATGATGAAGAAGTTCATTTGAGTTAAAAAACACTAAATCAGGTTGACAATTACAAGGAACGAGGTTTTTTTAAATAAGAAATAAAGAAATTCGAAAAACATGTAAGCACTAAGAGAGAGCCAAGAAAGCATCAACCCAAAGTTTCAGTTAATCAACAAAGTTGTGAAGCAAATGATTATACTGCAAGGATAAAGAGAAAGTGGATGATGAAGATCATATTAGCTTTGATGTAGACTGGGAGGGGAAAGAATTAGGGGTGAGAAGTAACGAAAAAAGGGATGAAAAAAAGAAGAAGAAAGGATGAGAAAAGAGAAAGAATTTGAGAAGAAAACAATATCAGTATTCAATAATAATCAAAGTCTAATCTAAATAAAACCCGTACATGTATCCCTTTATATAGGGAAACTAAAATCCTAAAATAAATAAATAATAACAAATAAACCCTCGTAAGTTAAAAAAAAATACTTAAAAGATAAATATTAAAAGTATATAAATAACTATCATAATTAATCTATAATATCTATCTAATTCCTACATGATTCCCATCATTCTCCTCCGGTTAAAAAAAACTCTCCTCCGGAGAGTCTTCAAAATAAAAGTACCCTAAGAGAGCAGCATGAAAATGACCGAACGCCTCATCTAGAATGACAGAACCGTTAATATCTTTCCATCGATCAAAATAAATGTAAGAATCTCCATCTGTAGCAATGTAAATTTGGTCATGTAATACATTATCTATTTGGCCTGAAATATGCGATGGAAGTGGAAAAATAAGAACTGGAGGTAATGTTGAGGAAGAAGCAATTCCACCTGTAGAAACACTGGATTAAAAAATAAGGGGTCCTGGAGTACCTCATTAAGTAGAATGTCCTCCAAATAAAAATCTGGACTAATACTAACATTCAATGAAAAATTAAGCAAATAAGCATTAGATCCAAACTTGAGAATAGCAAAATAATTCTCATTAGATTTCAACAAAAAGTATTCAATGAGACATAACATCGATGACAAAGGAGTAATAATAACGCCTTGGTGGCGAAATTAATTAAGTAACAACTCAATTGAAATCTTGATAGTAGGAATAAAATCAACTATTTCAAAGAGGAAAGACCTGGAAACAAAATTAGATTGACTTGAAATAGGAGACACAAAACAATCACCAAAAGATTCTGAAATGGGTAACTCAATATGCTCGACATTTTTCATAAGTGTGAGCTCGATAGACTTTTCAACAAGTTCCATTACAAGTGATGACTCAATATTTGACTCCGACAAAGGCTTAAACTCACTTTCTTCAGGTATTGACTTTGTTGGTATAAAGGAGACAAACTCTAATCTAATGAAACTAGACAAGAGGATTGGTAGTCTACATGAGTATCATTTTTTTTTTTTAGGTGAAAATGTGTCATCCTAATCCAAGGTTACCCTAGAATTAGGAAAACATGCAAAAACAACATGGACATCATTCAAGTAATCATGATACTCATATTTGATGGAATTAAAATTGGAAAGTGTCTTGTCACGTTGTTTAGCAGACTGTGATTGAGAACCCATCAAGTTATAGCTGGATTTCTTATGAAATCTCTCAACCTTTAGAGCATATTGATAGGCTACCACTAACATATTAAAAGTGTATAGTTTGACCTCCCTATTAATTTTTTGTCACAATCCAAGAATAAACTGATCAATTGTTCAAGATTCATCAACATTGTCACACAAGTACATGAGATAATCGAACGGAGCAAAGTAATCAGAGACACTAGAACAATGTTGTCTAAGATTGAGCCATTGATCATAAAATTGATTCGAATAGGAAGTAGGCAAATACTTTTCTTTCAATTTATATCTCATTTCAACTCAGATGATAGGTGATTCTCTTAAACTATCTAGACTTCTTTGGATTGCTTGTCAATACCACTTGGCGGAACCCTCCAACATCAATTTAACAAAATGGACACAATAAAAATCCAATATGTCATGTCAATCAAAATATTCTTCTAAATTAGCTAACCAATCCAAGAATTCAAAAGGATCTAAAATGCTACTAAATATAGAAGGGTCTTTGACTAGTTTGGTCATATGAGTTGACTCCATGTAAACATCCCTAGACTTCCTATGATGATAACCTCGATGAGAGACTCTTGAAATATGCGCATTAGAGGAACTCATAAGCGACTCTTGAAAGAAGAAAATGGACCCCAAAAAAATCAAGAATTGCAATTAACAATTTCAAGAAGAAAGCTCAAATAAAAGAACATATATTTTGGACCCTTTGCAAATTCTCTAATTTCCCAATAAATAAAAATATTAGTCTCAAATTCTATGAGAGTATGCATACCATAATCAAGAGAAAATTCTGAAACTTTTTAGGGATAATTCTGTAATTTTGAAACTTCTGAGGGGAAGATTCTACAATTTTTGAAACATCTGGTGGTAGTTCTGCAACTTCTGAAACTTTCTGAGACTTTTTGTAATTTCTGAAATAACTGGGATGTTGCTATAATTTTCAAGACAGCAGAGACAATTATAATTTTTTTCTCGCTGGTTCTTTTTTTTTTTCACTACTTATGGTGATGAACAGTTTTTTCGGTGAACAATGTTTTCCAATGAACAGTTAGGGCGCATGATGAACAGTAATTTTTTTTTTTTTGGTACAAGTTGAAGTTGGGCTCTGATACCAAATTGATATAGATCGTATTAGCTTTAATATAGACTAGGAAGGGAAAAAATGATGTGAAAAGAGAAAAAATTTGAGAAGAAAGCAATATCAGTATTCAATAATAATCAAAATCTAATCTAAATAAAATCCTTATATGCATCCCATTATATAGGAAAACTAAAATCTTAAAACAAATAAATAATGGCAAATAAACCCTCATAAGTTAAAAGAAATTACTTAAAAGATAAATATTAAAAATATCTAAATAACTATCATAATTAATCTATAATATCTATATAATTCCTACACGATCCCCATTAGTGGATGCTTAAATCCTATTATTACTAGTAACTATTTAAAGAACAACATGAAAGGATGACGGAACTATAGGAAAGATTCAAACCGAAATAGCAACCCAGGTAGGACATATTAATATTAGCAAGAATTAGCAATGAGAGAGGTTTCCAATAGGTATGTACATAAAAAGATCGATCATCACCTAGTTTGGCCCCATTAATGGAGGGCACTATGAGAGTAGATTGGGCATAGAAGTAGAACTTTACTTCAGTCCCAAGAGGCCGCCTTCATATTTTAATTGAACACGTCACAGGTGTCAACCCAGGTCTTTGTCATTGCATCAGGCCATGGTCACATATCCAATGCAGCTAGCTATCATCATAAATAATTGAAAAGAAGACTTAGAGATCCCCATAGTCCAAGCATTCATGGTCAGACCCACTCATAAACCATCCAACCCGACCATGTCCACACCCCCTTTTTTGTTGTTTTGGGGGGGAAGAGGGGACCATAAAAAACCCCTAATTGGTGCACCCATATTAATAATGAGAAACAAAAACAAAATCAAAAGTTTATTTAGGATACGAACTCCCACTTCAAAATTTCCATTTGGAAAAGCCGTACAATGGAGCGCATCATCAATATCCTTGCATCCTGCGCCATTTAGAAACTTACTTATGCATCCAAAGTTATGATATCTGATTAAACTAACTAGACAGCCATTTGGTCTTATGTGATTCCAAAAAACTAAGGGATATTCAAAAATTTAAAAGCAAAATAAGAAGTAACACATGTGGATAACATACCTGGAGGGTCCACGCTAAAGACACACAAATGCCGCAAATCCTGCCTAATAGGATTTGCCAAATCTGGAGAAGAAACAGACCAAGGTAATGGTGGCAAGCAAGCCAAAACTTGAGAAGAAAATGGTCTTGCATCTATATCATTCTCTATCAACACCACCTACAATATCCGCAAGTGATTGCAACAATATTCAGTGAAGCTATATACATTAACAATCATCAATCCAAGTATCTAAGCATGGCAAGAGCATATAAGCACATTGATCACTAGAAAATTCAGGGTGACGTGCCAAAATTCGCTAAAATAATATCAGAAGTTGACAGACCAGCCTTTTTCACATACCTCACTTTCAGTATCTCTGTCGCCTATTTCTCCAATTGTCCTTACATAATGACCAGAAGGATATCGAGATAAGCAATCCCAAGAATCAACAGCAACAATAATTCTTTTATCAAGAAGATTTCCAAGCTGTCGAGTTTGAATCCGAATCTTAGGAATTCGGCGATCTTTGGAGACAAATAGAGCATGGGCAACACCACCATTACCTGCCGGCATAGGCATTGGTTCCAAAGATCCACAATAACTGCATGACATCATGCAGGATAAAAAAGGTGAATCCATTGTTCGAAGACAAATTAATAGAAATATGCATGTACAACTGATAATCAACAATAGGTGACTATTTGCAAGGGAACTTTTGACTGATAACCTAGATACTGTCATAAGATTGTGTTGCAGAGTATGAGATAAAAATATGTATCTAGCCTCAAGTACACTTTCAGTGCAGATACTACGACATGTGGACCGATATCAACTTCACGGAACCGAGATAACACTCTGTTTAGAAAACCCAAAAACTAGGTTAATGAGGATGAGGTTGACTGGATTCATATCGACCTGTGTTTGGAAGGCAATTTCTTGTCATCTCGTGCAGGGTCGACGGAAGAAAAAATAAATCAATATCACGACAAACATGAAAGGGATTAATACATTCCTGTTTAAGAATGCAGAAGAAGAGATAGAAGAGATATCTTCTTGGTTCACATTTGCGCAAAAAATAATGCAAGAGATAAGTTCTCTTTTGAAAATAAAACTCTGTTGGTTTCCTAGTGATCCAGATAACAAACCTAGCATAAACCACCTCTTGAGGTTCTCAAAAGGCAGCTAAGAAAGCAGTGATAGCAATCTTCCATGACGCGTTACATCAGCATAGCAGCAATCTCTACTGATTAAGAATAAATCCAACAAAAAATTTACCTCGATATAAAAATCTTGAATTTCATGCCAGTTAGTGCTTAACGAAATATGAAAAGACACTAATAATATTCTTCCGAGAGTAATTACAAAAAAAGTTCAAATGATAATTCTAAAGCAATATTCTATTGCCACAAAAGTTGAATATACTACGAAAAAGAAAACAAACATACTTCAGCAATGTCATTTTACAGAGGAGGTAGCAACAGGAGGCAAAAAAGAATAAGAATGTCAATAATGTCATCAATAATTGAAAATTCAGGCATGCAAAAATTAAATTAGCAGTTAACAAATTATCAGGTTCACAGTACTGTAATCAAGTTCAAAATAAATTTGAAATTTCTATGGAGAGAAGGAAAAAACCTATAACCTACACAAGGGTACAATACCACCAATTCCGTTAACTGCTAGAGACAAAATTCTCACATGCAGCAACTGCAAATACAAGGGTTGTTGCATGAGTAAATGTTGCTGTTTAGAGCAAGTCACAGCCAGGGAACTGTAGCCTAACAATCAACTGTTCTGAACAGTACCACAAATAATAAGCATTTAACCTCCTTTACGAGTATTAAACTTCAATTATCAACAGAATTTACCAAACAGAAGGAATGAGATGAGAACATGTCAACACTTCAAACAAGAAAACCTGCTCTCACAAACGAAGATAGTTGCAGATGTATGAAAATGAGAAAGCGACTTACGAGTGCCAATTCCGCTTTATAATACCAACAACACGTCCAGATGGACGGGAAGACAAGGGATTGATGTCTCCAGCCGATCCTTGCACTAGATTTGTAACTCTAGGAGCAGCATCGGCACTGCTGGGAGCCAGATGTACATCTTCTTCTTCCTCATCCTCTGAAGGGCAATAAAAATTATCAGAATTCTACACCACGCAAAGCAAGTGCCAAAAAGAGAGAAATAAAAGTGCGCACAAAAAAATCACTAGGCAGTACCTACACGTATGCACAACATTATGGATATTTTAGGATGGAGTGAAATGGTAATTTCTCACTGTCAGTCAAGAAAAACTCCATAGAGAACTGTTCTAACATGCCTAGTGATTGGTTTAATAAGCAGAGAACTTAAATCCAGTACTTTGGTGCAACTCTATTCATGTTAACTTGTTTTTTAACACTCTAGGTCCAATTCAATGGTCTCATGCTTTCAGCACAAAACAAATGCATGATTGAAAGCAACCTTTGCCAGACCTAACGGAAATCAGTTCAATAATACTTTTGTGACTAAATATCATTTTGTTGAAAACTTAGGGTGAACAGTCATATCAAACACATTATGTCAATTTTTTGTGTGTCTGTATAGAGATTTCAAAAAAGCAGTCTACTGTCAAAACTGTGAGCATTCATTGTGCATGTGAGCGGAAGAAGAGCCTTCATTCCCTCCTCAATTAAAAAACAATGCACTCATCCCACCACCTAGTCTACCGAAAGTAAAATAAAAAGAAATCACCTTTCTTAGGATGGATTAAAATTTACTTGAGCTACTTTTTTTTATAAAACAACAGCCAGCTCCTCTCTTTTTCCTTTTTCTATTTCTCAAATTAACAAGTAAATTATACTCTATCTTACAAGTTGCAACAAGAAAGATTGATTTCAAGAGACAGTGAATGAATGATATAGATGAGCACCTTCTTCAGCCACAAAGAAGGTACATATTAATTCAATCAGTGTCAAAGACTACTAAAACCTTTTAAGATCTATACACAATAATTAAGAGCCAGCTGACCATCAAAATTGCATTCGCAGTTCCCCGGTGTTCATGTAGCTAACCAACAATTTCCATGTGAAGTGTAATTTCATCCAAGAAATACATATATACTTATATATTGATCCCATGCATAGACTTAGTGATCATACCTTGTTTATTTATATATATCATACATGAGGCTCGCTAATTATTAAAAGATCTACAAACCTTCATCAGCTATAGACAGGGACTTCTCATGCCGTTGATCTTGAGGCAAAAGTTCCACAGCCACTATATCGCCATCAAAAGCCCTATTCATGTTTGCTCGTCCATAGACAATTATCTCATCTCCAATACTCTCACTACCCACATATGCTTCAAACGGATTATAACGGTTAACGCGAAGTTTCCCTTGATGGTAAATTCCACGATGCAAGCCAGATGTGATCTCCGACATGGGCTTATGCTGAACAAAAACCATACAGGAAAAAAGATTTGTAAGAACACACAAAGTCCTTCTTTGACAGTATATAACCAATTGAAAATATGTTACAGAAAGACACAACTGCAAGTTGCAGAAATGCAGTTTTAGCTGAAAATACCTCTGTATAGATGACTTTTCTTTTCAAAGGCCTCAGATCTTCAACATCCTCCATGCCAACATCTTCCGAGGAAGGATGAACAAGCAGGTCAAGCAATCCAGGTAGACCAAGTGATTTCACATAGGACTCAACTGAAACAGAACGATACATCACTAGTCAACTATGTCCATACAGGAGGTCGTCCAACCTGGATAATATGCACACATATTTATAGGAGGAGGAGGGGGGCGGGCATGGGTAGAATCATTAGAAGACGAAAGGAGTAACAGTAGTAGCAGGCTAGCATCAGCATCAAAACAAGAACTAGCAGAATCTTAAAAGTCAATCCATCAAAGAAAAGAGGCACAAACACAAGAAAAGCAAAGACGCATGACAAAGTTAGCATGTACCTGTCTCTGCAAAAATGCCCTCCTCGGTGGCCTTCCTCTTATTTTCCTTGTCATTTGTAATTAGTAAGACATGAGTTCCCTGACCAAGATGATTCTGGTACCACTGCGCTGCCACACGAATTGCTGAACCACCATTTCCTCAATGTCAGTAGAACAAAATTGCACTAACGAATGTGTGTATCAGTTATGACTTCTTAGATACAGCCCCTCGCATTGCAGGACTGGAGTCCATACCAGGGTTACCTGGATCGCGGGTCAATTGGGTACGTGGTACGGGTACAGGTGCGGGGTACGTTACTTTTTGCGGTACGTGGTGCGGTGGGAATAGGCTTAACTGGTACGCTATTTTGGGTCGCAGTTCGCTTTGAACTATTATTCGGATCGTTTTTATTATTACAAAGAATTATATAAGTATATACATTATAAAATGCAAATCAAGACCAACAACAATACATCAACTAATAATCATGAATAAAAAAGTAATGATTGTATATGTTATTATCAATAAAAGGCAGCATATAAATTTAAAGACTTAAAATTTAAAAAATAACGTACTGGAGAGCGATTAAATAGCTTCCTACTTGAAGCACAAATCAAAATAATACTCTTAAACATCTAACAAGTTTCAAATAAAAATTACTTAATAATAAGAAAAATTAGCAATTGCTCATGAGTTAACTTTTTTTCCTTTATCTTTCGCAGTGTTCCCTCCTCTTGTAAAGTTACTAATTTGAGTCTGATGCAGTCCGGAATGACAGAGACTTGGCCTGCTAGAACTAGTAGGTGGCTTGTCAATAGAGACGGGCATAGAAGTATGTAAGGATGAAGCTTTCCTATCTTCGTCTCCAGCAATGGTAGAACTATCTGTATTGTCATCCTCCAAGGATTTCCATCACAAATCCTCCAATCTCACACTAGAATTATCTATATATATGTGTGCTCTGGATTTATATCTCATTTCTTAAAAAGGCCATCTTTGTAACTTTCACTGAAACATGATTGGATACGAATATTTGAATGGATAAAAATCAATTTATCAGCTCTGGTAGAATTCAATCTGTTTCTCTTAACATTGTGAATAAATGAATACGTACTCCAATTTCTTTCAGCTAAAGAACTTGTAATTGGTTGTGATAACACCTTTTATGAAAAAAATAATAAGACACATTAATAATGATAATTAACAATAAAAATAAATAACTTGTAATTTAAATTAGTACCTTTTTTGTCACTTCTGCTAATTCTAGAGTTTCTGAACCATATGTCGACTACCAATCAATAGTATCCATGGTCACAGCATCTGTTTGAGCCGCTGCCATAGCATAATGACCCTTTCGCGAGTGAAAATATGCATACTGTTATCTCAATTGTTTTGCTTCTTCTACATCTTCTGCCATCTTTTCAAAAGCTTTCATAATACTTATGATGACCTCTCTCTCTTGATTTGAAGTTTTCCTAACTGTACCTCCTGGTGCTAGCTTAGTAAAATATTGGGTATCATAAAACCGTGGTGTTAGTGCAAACCCAAGACAATGCAAAGGAATGTTCATGTTCTCCCATCTGTCAAGCACAATTTTTTTAATCTAGGAAAATTGATCAACGTGTTTTTCTTCCCTTAATATCTTTTATTTTACCAAGCATGTTGTCCATCTTCTCATAAATCTCACCCATTTTTTGACCTTCCCCATCACAAAATTTAATAAGAAAAAATATAGGCTTTGTGATACTTATAATATTCTACGCATCCTCCCAAAATTCTTCACTAATAACAGTTTCTGTAACCAAAGCACCTAACTTTCTTATGTGTTCATCCCCAGATTTCACCAATTCTTTCCATGACTTGAGAACAATGGTAGTTGCAAGGGACTCTCTATAGTCAATAAGTCGCTTCAACAAAATATAATGCGATGCAAACCTGGTCTTAGCCACTTTTAATAGCTCCAATTTAGACTGAGCTCTAAACATATCCAAAGCATGTGTATGGTTCAAGAAATATTTAACAATAGACTTTCTCCTTCTATAAGTATTTCTAAACCACTCAAATTCCTTTGCAAAATCTTTAAAAATTAGATTCAGAGTATAAACAACACAAGAAGACCAAAATATATGTTTGTGTACCTTTTGCACCTCTTTTCCCGCAAATTTGCAATTTGCTACGTTATCGGTCACTACTTGAATGACATGTAGTGGACCTACATCTTCAATGGCTTTCAACAAAAAATCAGCAATTGCTTTACCTGTTTTCTCTATCCCTGAAAAATCCTCAGCATATAAAAACATAGTTCCATGACTATTTGCAGCAATAATATTAATAAATGGTTGATGTTTCACATTAGTCCACCCATCTGATACAATGGATACCCCATTAGAATACCATGTATCTTTAATAGGAATCAAATCTTTTTCAACACTTCTTTTGCACTCACCCAATAATGTAATTTTTATTTTTTCATAGTTGGAAGCTTTGTAACCTTTAGATCCTCTATTTATAGCTGAAATCATCTCATTGAATTGAGAATTTCTCAACACATTGAATGGAATTCCATTAGCACATAATCCCCTCATGACCTTCAAGCCAACCATATCTCGATCCATTATTTTGAATGCATTTTCAATTGATCCCGTTGTTGGTCACTACATTATTGGATGAGTGCAAAAGAAGTGTTGAAAAAGATTTGATTCTCGTTAAAGACACATGGTATTCTAATGGGGTATCCATTGTATCAGATGGATGGACTAATGTGAAGAATCAACCACTTATTAATATCATTGCTGCAAATAGTCGTAGAGCTATGTTTTTATATGTTGAGGATTTTTCAGGGATAGAGAAAACAAGTAAAGCAATTACTGATTTTTTGTTGAAAGCCATTGAAGATGCAGGTCCACTAAATGTCATTCAAGTAGTGACCGATAACGCAACAAATTACAAACTTGCGGGGAAAGAGGTGCAAAAGGTACACAAACATATATTTTGGTCTCCTTATGCTGTTCATACTCTGAATCTAATTTTTAAAGACTTTGCAAAAAGAATTTGAGTGATTTAGAAATACTTATAGAAGGGGAAAGTCTATTGTTAAATATTTCTTTAACCATACACATCATTTGGCTATGTTTAGATCTTAGTCTAAATTGGAGCTATTAAAAGTGGCTAAGACCAGGTTTGTATCACATTATATTTTGTTGAAGCGACTTGTTGACTGTAGAGAGTCCATTGCAACTATCACTGTTCTCAAGTCATGGAAAGAATTAGTGAAATCTGGGGATGAACACAAAAGGAAGTTAGGTGTTTTGGTTACACAAAATGTTATTAGTGAAGAATTCTGGGAGGATGTGGAGAATATTATAAGTATCACAAAACCTATATTTTTTCTTATTAAATTTTGTGATGGGGAAGGTCAAAAAATGGGTGAGATTTATGAGAAGATAGACAACATGCTTGGTGAAATAAAAGATATTATGAAGAGTGGAAAACACGCAGATAAATTTCTCCAAATTAAAAAAATTGTGCTCGACAAATGGAAAAAGATGAATATTCATTTGCATCGTCTTGGGTTTGCACTAACACCACGGTTTTATGATACCCAATATCTTAATAAGCTAACATCGGGAGGTACAGTTAGGAAAACTCCAAATCAAGATTGAGAGGTCATCATAGGTGTTACAGAAGCTTTTGAAAAGATAGCAGAAGATATAGAAGAAGTAAAACAATTGAGAGAACAGTATGCACAATTTCACTCTCGCAAAGGTCTTTATGCTATGGCAGCGGCTCAAACAGATGCTGTGACCATGAATGCTATTAATTGGTGGTCGACATATGGTTCAAAAACTCTAGAATTAGTAGAAGTGGTAAAAAAGGTACTAATTTAGATTACAAGTTATTTACTTTTATTGTTAATTATCATTATTAATGTGTCTTATTATTTTTTTCATAAAAGGTGTTATCACAACCAATTACAAGTTCTTCAGTTGAAAAAAATTGAAGCACGTATTCATTTATTCACAATGTCAAGAGAAACAAATTGAATTCTACCAGAGCTGACAAATTGATTTTCATCCATTCAAATATTTGTATCCAATCACGTTTCAGTGAAAGTTACAAAGATGGCCCTTTTAAAAAATGAGATATAAATCCAGAGCACACATATATATAGATGATTCTAGTATAAGATTGGAGGATTTGCGATGGAAATCCTTGGAGGATGACAATACAGATAGTTCTACCATTGCTGGAGACAAAGATCGGAAAGCTTCATCCTTACATGCTTCTATGCCCGTCTCTATTGACAAGCCACCTACTAGTTCTAGCAGGCCACCGCTCCGTTATTCCAGACTGCATCAGACTCAAATTAGTAACTTTGCAAGAGGAGGGAACACTGCGAAAGATAAAAGGAAAAGAGTTGACAATTAACTCATAAGCAATTACTGATTTTTCTTATTATTAAGTAATTTTTATTTGAGACTTTTTAGATGTTTAAGAATGTTATTTTGGAGTAAATATTGAATGCAACGGTGATACTATGTCACCATTGATGACATGGTATCACCTACCAATAATAAAACCCCAAATAAAAAAGGTGAACCCCACTTGGACTTACATGACAAGAGGGTAAAAAGTTATTTGCTTACATGACAGGTTAGTTATTGATTTTTGTAGAGTCCATGTGCTTATTTGTTTTACTACTATTAGTTGGTGATACCACGTCACCTTACCACGTGGTATCACTGTTGTAATGAATATTTTCTCGTTATTTTGATTTGTTCAAGTAGGAAGCTATTTAATTGCTCTCTAGTACGTTATTTTTTAAATTTATATGCTGTCTTTGATTGATAATAAAATATACAATCATTACTTTTTTATACATGATTATTAGTTGATGTGTTGTTGTTGGTCTTGATTTGTATTTTATAATGTATATATTTATATAATTATTTGTAATAATAAAAACAATCCGAATAATAGTTCAAAGCAAACCGCGACCTAAAATAGCATACCAGCTAAGCTTAGCTCCACCGCACCACATACCGCAAAAAGTAACGTACCCCGCACCTATACCCGTACCATATACCCAATGGACCCGCGATCCAGGTAACCTTGATACATACACACATCCACGTGCAAGTCAAATCAACCACAGTTTTGTTCAGTTTTTCTTTTCTCTTTTTCATCCCTACATGTGTATGATCCTGTAACACGATTGGAGTTCATGTATTATGGTGGACCAGAAAGTTCAGAGTTCCTACTTCACTTAGGTCTTTCATGAGTAGAAGTAGTTATTTAAACTACGTGTCACAGAAGCTTGTATGCTGGTTTTGTTTATGGATCGAGTCAATGCCAGAAACTCACATTTTACTTATCTATTGTACATTGATATACATTTTTATGTCTCCACAAGGCAGAGTTTCCAGAGAAATGTCAAACACCAATATCTGCATTCGGTATTGAAAAAGGGGGAAATTCCTGCCCTTTAGATGCTGCTTAAAACGGAAAAAAAAATCCTAAGCAAAAAATTTACACTTATTAAAGGAGTATTCCAAAAAAATCCAGATAAGTTTATGGATTACATCGAAATTAGATACCCAGATAAATCCATGTTCCATGAAACAATATCAGTGAAACCCCTTTATGTAGGAATTCAAAGAAGTGGTAAATATTCATACCACTGCTTTGATAACAAATTTAATAATTCCGGTTTGGCATGAATATGGAAACACCTAGACACACTTCCGTCATAATTACACATAAATTACAGTATGCGATCTAGTGTTGTGATCATTAAAACTTTTAAATCTTTTCAGCAGAAATTTGCAATATCATCTTAGATGTTATGCCAATAATTAATTTTTCAGACCAATAGAGAGGATATCGCTGCAGCAAATTAAGGTTTAGCAACTAATCAACCACTTACGTGTCTGCACTCTATTGAGAAATGTGCTTCCTCACTGTTTGGTGGATAATACCTTGTGTTTCCTTTTGCCTATCGAATAAATATGTATATGCTCCATTTCATCACATTAATACCCTGTAATCTCTAATATAACTAGCAATTAAGCAGACCAAGGAAATATATTGATATTTGTAAGAATGCAAGGGGTAGACCTCTGTCATTCCGGTCGTTTGGACTTTCACCAGCCATGGCCTTCACATATGTATCCCTTGAGAAGAAAAAAACAATGGTGCAGTATTAAAGGATCAAGCTTAAAACCCACCAACAATTTCCAATTAAAAAAAAAAAACCACCAACAACAAAGAAACAAAATAATAAAAAAGGTAACCCTACACAATACCCTCACCAAAGAATCAACATAATCTGTGATGAAAAGCAACTACCACTACCAATGCAAATAAATAAAGTCAATTACATAATCAAAACACTACTCAATTCCCTGGTAGTCTAAGCAAAACTAATAGGCTATACATAAACAGACGTGGTGAACAAATGCAGCATTCTTCCATATATGTCTCATAATCTAAACCATAAAATCTTACTACAATTTTAGGACCGGTGCCTTGCTTATTTGCAGAACCATCACACTATGTTTGGTAGCACGGAATGGGGATCATGAAATTGGTAAAGCAAAAATAATATTGAATTTGAATTGATTCTTTTGAAATTGAAATTCCAGGGCCCAATTGCAAGCCGCCAAACATCTACTTGATATAATTGAATTACGTGATGAAAATTAAAGAAGAACCTACTTGTGGTATTCATTAGAGAAAACGAAGAATTTCCTCATAGAATTACTGCACAAGGCCCTGACTCTGTTATAAACCCCAAGATTCTTGTTTTTCACCTCTTCCAATACCACGGAAAGCACCACAACATCGTCAATTGCCGGATTTTCCAGCAAATCAATCTGAAAACGCAGTCATGATGTTAATGTAAAAAAAAATATCAACAAATACATACAGTAATGGAGATGGAAAATAAGAGCACAATTAAGTTACCTGATTGAGAACGACATTGGTGTCAACAATGAGAATGGTGGCGGCAGTGGAGCTCAAGCGCGCAGTCGAAGAATCACAGGCTTTGCAGAACGAGGCTCCACAATAGATATCATCTCTAAGATAGTGTTCTCTAACGACCTGCAACAAGTAAGTATCAAACAATACCTTAGTTCAACTGGCCCATAGGATTAAGATAAAAACTTCAAACAAACAATGATCTCAGGGATAGGGTTAGGGTTAGGGTTAGGGGCCATGTGAAGAACAGACCTTGAGTACTTTGCCTCCCTTTGTTTTCCTGACGAATGACTTGCTTTGCAACATCTTCTTCAAGAATCGATTGCACAGCGTCCTCTAGAATTCACAGCCCTTTTTTGTATAAGGCGATAGTGATTCTGTCTGTATCCAGTGTAGTGTTCTTGCTCTCGATACTATGGCTCGGAGGAGAGAGAGAGAGGGCGAGGGAGAGGGGGAGAGGGGGAGAGAGAAAGAGTATTCGAGCGTTTTAGGCTTCACTATTTTCTCTGGCGGTGGACGAATACGACACGCGCCTAGGTCGGAGAGTACTACCTTTTAACCTCTTTGGACCGCCGGTCTGACTCGGGTTTAATTTTTTATTTTAAATAGATACTCAAATAGTTCACTCCACGTATGCAACAAAAAGCGTTGTCCTCCGACACTACAAAGCTATCTGTAGAAAATCATATCGCACCTACTTCAGGCCCGAAACTAAGATCTCATTGCATGTTTTGAGCTTTGAATGATAAGTTTATCCTCAATAATCTATTGTAACTGCGGAGCCTCGAACTTAAATATTGAGCAAAAAATTCTAAATTATGAGTTCTTAACCTAAGTCGAAGAGTGCTGCTTTTTAACCTCTTTGGACTACCAGTCTAGCTCGGGTTGTACTTTTAAATATTAATTTTTTTACATTGTACCTTTAATATATTAAAAATATAATAATATGATATTTCTGTTCGTTTTTGTTACTCATTATTTCGTCAACGTCAATGTAGTGGGTTTCAACGAAATAAGCAATGAAATGACTACATTATAATATTTTTAACACATTGAAAGTGTAATATAAGAAATTTCATCTTTAAAGATATAAAGTGAAGAAACTTAAATCATTTAATGTACAAAGTGAGATTCTCTTTTTACGAAATAGGAGAAAATATTCAATGTGATTGTTATACCATGTTATCAACGTCAGCTGGTATAACCGATTATTATAAATAACTATGTAAAACTAGTGGATTCCACCAAATTGTATAACCACTAATAACTTATCCAAAATGTCACGTAATATTAGTGGAGTTCACTTATTCTATTTATTTATTTGCATTTGACTACATGTCCCCGATATTAAAAAATCTAATGTTATGTCTTCAAATTTTGAGTAAATTGTCCATTATGTCTCGGTATTTTATACCTTTAGTCTCAATGCAAACATTTATATAAAAGTTGAATCCATAACCTCTAATATATTGTTTTCTCTATTTCTCTTCTTAGCCTATCATCTATTAAAAATGAGGAATCCACTTACATGCAATAAATATCACTTGAATTTACGATAAATAATCTACCAAAAATGAAAAATTGGAGAAAATGTAATAATCATGTTCTCCAACTTTTCAATTTGAGTGAATTAGGACACTTAGTCTAACTTGCCTACTTTTATAACAAAAAGGACACATGAATTAGTTATGAGGGTATTTTAGACAATGAATGAAATGTTTAAATTACTCGTCCTGTATAAAAATAAAGGGAAAATGGACCACACAAGATCCAGGGGTAGAAATTTTTGGGTCCAAAAGAACAATTATAGTAAAGAAGACAAGATTGTTGTCAGAGCATCTTCGATAATACTCTCTTTATTTTTAGAGAACATCCTTTTTGAAATAGAGAACATCTTTGATAAAATTTTAAAATAGAGAGTGAAATCTTTTTGACAACTTCAATGGAGTCTCTATTCTAGTAGAAAAATAGTCTTATAATCAATAATATTTAATGAAGAATTTATATTTCTCATCTTGTCATTTATTAAAAAAAATAGAGAGCGGGGTTGGACTCTCTGAATGTGAAGAGCCAAATAAGGCTCCTTATTTTAGCTAGTCTAAATAGAGAGCCTCTTTGAGCTTAATTGTTGATTGTTGACTCTTGAAAATATAGAGTTTAGTGAGAATAGAAAGTCTGTTAAAGATACTCTTAACGAGATGTGTTAGTTTTCCAATAAGTTATGACCTTAGCATTATCTTAGAAGATTTTGTTTACTATCAAAAAGATATTTTCTTTCACCTTTATCTTTCATCCCACTCTTTCTCTCTCATCTCTCTTTTTCATATTTCTCTCTCCTATTTCGTTTGTCTCTCTTTTCTTTAAACTCATCTCTTTCTCATCTTTCTTCCATCCAAACACTCTCATCTCTATTTTGTCGTAGAGTTTTTGTATGTGAGGAAGATGTCGAGTGACTTTGTATTCGCCTTTTGCTTTTACTTTGATTTATTGCTCCTACTTTGCCATGCTTTTTGGGATTTTGCTCACATATTTTTTGATGCAATGGTAATGGAGATTTGCATCTTACTGAAAAAATTAACAAAACGTAGTTTTGATCCACACTAATAAGAACGAAATAATGCGGTAGAAGAGCAGGAGGGGGGAAGAGAGAGAGGGGGGGGGATGCACTCTAGTAATTTAAAAAAAAAAAAAATTAGTTAGAATGGATTAAAAGATCAAAAAAAAGAGTATATAACATGTTTTTAATACCTTAAAAGTATCTTGCTTAATTTAATGGCTTAAAAAAGCATTTGATTGGACTTTTTGCCAATTTTCATTATAACTAATTATAGGTTGTTCTACTTTGGTTTGAATAGTTTAAAGTATATTATGATTTTGTCTAAAATACTCCCGTAGCTCAATTATATGAGAGATATATTTATTATTTTTACTAGTATATCCGGCGCATAACGCACGGTCAATGATTACATGTATTCATGTTGTGAAACCCGGAAAAAATTTTAACTTTTTCTAAAAAAATGGCAAAATGGTAATTTGTCATTATAGCGCGGGTTGAAAACTGATATTTTTCTAGACCTCAAATGATGAAACGGACCTCATCGTTGGATTCGTCTCACGAAATCTAGTTACTCAGACAACTTTCGTCGAATTTTGAGATAGTCGGGTTTTTCATGTTTTTTGAAGTGACGGGTGTTCAGTGACCTCAAAAACGAAATTTTTATAAAAAAAATTTAAAATTTAGAAAATATTTTAAATAAAATTCATATAAAATATTTTGAACTTAAACTAGTACGAAATTTAATCGTTTCGGAGTGAAAAAGGACCTGAACAAAGGAGGACACTTGACGTGACAAGGGCCAAGTTTTTAAAAAGTATAAAAATGGGCAAATATCTGAAAAATCGGATGTTTTCTCTTCATTTGGCCCACTGGATCAGACCCAAGAGTAAAGAGGAAAAAAATAAATTCTTCAAGCTTTATTTCGCTGATTCTCGGAGTTCCGTCGGTCGGAATTCGTCGGGCCAAGAATTAAAGTCGATCTACGCGGCGAGGGCTACGCGTGGGTACCAAAAACAAAGATTTTCACCAAAGATTTAAAGACAAAGTCTTGGAGGATCAAAGCTTTGAGGCTTGTTTTGGTGGAATAGAAGTCTCTACACTTCTATTCAGGTAGGGGTTTTCCTACTTGGGTCTATTCTTAGACTAGAATGTCTATGTGAGATGGTTGAATATATGTGCTATATATATATATATATATATATATATATATATATTGACTCATTTATGCATATGACTAAGGAAATGGTGTGGAATTAAACCTATATAAATTCCTAGTAAAAATTGGCAAAGGAAGTTACTTGTGTGATTCCTTGGGATTTGATGTGTTTGGGTATGTTATGTGCTCAAATGTGATTTATAAAGATGTGGACAATATTATGTGACAACAAGAAAAGTCAGTACACTTTTCTACTTCGGACCAGTTGTCGTAGAATCGTCATAACTTTTGATTCAACCGTTGGATTGAGTTGAAATTTTGACACAATACATAAGACATATAGATCTACAAATTTTGTGTTTTGAACTTTTCTATATTCTGAGTGGATCAAGGTAAAAATATAGAAAAACAAAGGTACTTTCACCAGCGGGAGCTAGTGCTGGTGCCTTTGTTATCAAACACCAATACCTCTTTGATTTCTTAACTTCTAAGCCTTCAAATCCTCATGTAATGTGGTCATACCTTAACCACACATCCAAGATAGTTGCAAGGTTCTAAAATACTTGAATTATGTGATTACATGATTGGTGTCTTGAAGGTGTTTGTTGTGTTTGATAAAATAGCATGCTTGAAAAATGTGGTAAAGTGAAATTACATGCTTGTGATGTGATTTATAATTGTAATGTTATGTTGATGTATGCTTAACGATATGTTAGCATTATGATGATCATGGAATTTATATGTTTGGATATATTGAACTTGAAATGGTTATGGTGATTATATGTAAATGATATAAATTGTCATGGTATACATTGATATGTAAAAATTATTCATTTGACATGCATTGCAATATGGACATGGAATTGACATCACATTCATGAGCTACATGCATGAATGTGAGTGTAGGGTTGTATGGGGTGATCAACACCAACATTGGTGCTTGATGATGGGCTCGAAAAAGTGGGATGGAACGTCCTACGGAGTCGCACGGTTACATGCATAAAAAAACTTGTGTCGGAAATAGCGAATAGGGTTAGATACTCTCTCGGGTGAAAAACCCGGCCACTTAGTTCATACACTTACTGGCGGTGAAATTTCAGAAAAGTGTAACGGCGTACGGAGCCGGAGGTGCGATTACAGAATCCAATATCCATAAAGGCACATGATTTTGATATATAAATTATTCATTTGATGGAAAACATCCAAGAATGAATTGGTTTTATGACATATGGTTGATTTCAAAATGATCTTTGGATGTGTTTCATCAAAGACGTTTATTTTACACATATGAGTCGCATTGTGTTGTGGAAGTCGGTGTGGGCTCGGGATAGCATGCATGGGTGAGTTTCATCTCATTACTTGGCATGACATCATGAGATTCTATCTTGAATAACATATTCTTATTTGAAAGAAGTTGTTTGTGGCATGTGCGCATTGTATACGCATTCTAGGTGGGGAGTAGCCTCTGTAGGAGTTTTTCTACTGACCGTTAGCTCATTCTATATGGGAAACATTTCAGGTGGAAGGGGTACACCGGTGGATGGCTCCAATTTGGACCCTCATGTTTGAAGAAAGTCAAATGTGACTTTATTT